CAGACTCTCTCCATCTCGCCACCCCTCCTCCATAACTCAACCCATGTTTATCAACACGGCCATGGAGCTTAGCCAAAAAGAATGTCAGCGGGAATGTGGCGGATTGTCTGAAGCTATCTTGAAAAGGCTGAAGCTGTGTCGACAAGTGCTCTTTTGAGGTACAACTCGATCGCGCAAAGTCTCCAAGGCCCGACACTGGCAATCGATTTGCTAACACTGGCATCAGGATGAGGGATGCGATGCTGTACCAGTCAATACCCCTGATCTATGTGTTCGATGCTGTAGTATGCCAATCTACAAGCCAACCTGTGTCTATGCATTCCCCACGAAATGATTTGCTCGTGGGGGAGTACGTCAACCTCAGGGTCCATCCCCTCGAACGTCAGCCCTGACCGGCACGCCCGTCGCGAGCCGTCAATACCGTTCAGCCCACATCAGTCCAATACTGGTCTAGCCACTCTTGCGACCACCGAAAGAGAAAAAAGCATAGCCAAGTCATAGAGCTGCTGCGCTGTGGCTTGCATACGGCACACCCACGAAGCCAGTGCCGTCCTGTAGCTACCGCCACGACGGCTTCTAGCACTGGCGGTGCCCTTCATCTATCGAAATGGCTTGCATGGCCATATGCCGTCAAGGCATTCTATCCCTCCGACTCTGACCTATGGCGTTCGTGGCGGCCCATGAACGTCAGGCGCTTGAACTGTTCAGTTTGGCCGGTTCGAGAGCTTGACAGCGCCAGTGTGCGAGGGCTGCGGCGGCCCAGCCCGGAATAACAACCAGCTCAGAGCTCAAAAGCTGACGAGTGCCGTCTAAGTCCACTGCATTGATCAAACATCTCTGCAGTTCGTATTTGTTCTTGTTTCTGAACACACAAAAAGCCATACGGCTGAATTACTCCAAAGTAAGCGTCAGCCGTAGCTCAACACCATGGATCAATGCGCCCTCGATCCTGATACCGTCATCGGCACCAACAGCACCGACAACTCCACCCTCGTCTTCTCCGACTTTGCCGTCTCCCTCGCCAACATCGCGCCCTGGGCGGCCCCCTACGTATCTGAGGCCTGACCCAGGCGGCTGTCTTTTGCCCTGGCCCTACACGCTCGCATGGATCCTCGTTCACCTGCCGGTGACGGTCCTGCGCGTGAATCGGTGGGAGAAGGTTCAGACACTGTCCATCCTCCTGGCCTTCTTCAGCGTCTACTTCACAGCCCAGGCTTACACGACCCACCTGACGCCCGACCAGGTCATGGTATGGATGCCCCTTGCCATCGTGCTCGATGTCGGCGCCATGATGCAGCTTGTCTTCCTCGTCATTCAGGAAAACGGCGTTGTGCTGTTATGGGCTGCATTTCAACAGCTCCTCATGAGACCTTTCCGGACGCAGCGGAGGCCGTCCATCGAGCTCATCCGCCAAGACGCGCGCGGCGAGAACAACAACGGTAATAATGCAAAAGGTAGTCAGTTCCTCCTCCGGGACCTGCAGCCATTGTCCCGCCTCCCACTCCTACTCCCGTCATGAAGTCGAGGACCGCACACTAACCCTGCCGCCTCCCACTTAGTCGCAGTCCACGTTCTTGAACCAGAGCCTGTCCCGCAAGACCGCGACCTCGCCCCGAAAGCCCTCGTCACACTGCTCGCCCTCTTACTCCTCGTCACGCTCGTCATACTCCAGCTCGTGGGGCTCGCCAACGCCGCACGTGGTCGCAAGACCGACGACCTTGCCGCCGTCTGGTGTTCCCCCATGTTCCAGTCCGGTGAGGCCGTCCTCGCCACGCCCGCGCGGTGCCAGAGCACCCCGCTCCCCGTCGACCGGTCCGCGAGCCAGGCATCGGCTGCGTGCGCCTGCCGG